TTTTACCTTTGCCTATAATGAGCATGCTAATCTTATGGTAAGAAAAGGAAATTTTGTGAAAGATTTACATGCCAGATTTCGGGCCAACTGTGAAAGGGAATAGCAATATGCTAAGCAAGCCAATAAGGGGTGTTCGAAGGTTGTCTTCCAACCTGGAGATTGGGTTTGGGTGCACATGCGAAGGAGAGGTTTCCCACACAAAGGAAATCAAAATTGCGCCTTGAGGAGATGGACCTTTTCAAGTCTTGGAGCGGATCAATAATGCATATACTGATTTGCCATCGACTATGGTAATGTTAGTGCACTTTTAATGTTGCTGATTTCTTTGTTTGATGTAGTGGATTCGAGGACAAATCCTTTCGAAAAGAGGGGAATAATGGAGATCGAGTGCTGACCAAGTTGATGTTCCCAAATATTCTCAAGATCCTTTGCAAAGAATTGGCGATCCAATGATAGGGCAAAGACAAAGAGTATGAAGAGGCTTTGCAAGGCTTGATCATAGAGTGCAATACAAAGAGGCTATACTAAAATACTCTAAGACTAAATTTGAAGATTTCAAAGCTTCACCAAGAATGGTCTATTAACTTTTATGCAAGGAGTAGATTCGGAAGATCAAGTTGGATGCAAGGATTAATTTAGGAATTAATTTTTGTTTATTTATCGTGGGCTTTTTTTGTTTTAATTATCATTAGATTCTTTAGTCTTTTATTTATTTAAGGTTTATTTAGGTCCAATTCACTTGTACTTAGGCCCAACCCATTTTTCAATTAGCTAGGGTTTTCTTTTACGGTTTTTGCTTATAAAAAGGGTGGCCATGTTATTTTTGGACAGATTATTATCAATTGAAGTTTATTTCAAAAAGCTATTTGCTTTGCCTTCTTATGTTCTTGATTAAATGCTTGAATCTCGACTTATCAAAGGGTGATCAACCTTTGGGGCGTCTCAAGATTAGGGTTTAAGGACTTAGTTTCCTTAGGGTTCTAATTCGTCATCCTCACACGTTCCTAGCAAACCAACTTATTCCTATTCCATTGATTCAGGGTTCCTAGAGTAATTTCGCCTAGAGGGTCTTCATCAACCATTTACCTTTAGGGATTGCATCTCCTCCTCTTTGCATTTCCATTTCTCTTTCTCTTTGGATCTTATGGCCTCATCATATGTTTCTGAATCAGATCTCTAGACTTCTGTACCTGCAAGCAAAGTTGTGTAGGTTAAGTCTACATATGAAAACCTAGCAGGGGTTCTAATTTCCCTTCTATGACTGTCTTTTGCTAGTTGGTAATGGGTAGATCTTCTTGTTGAGGTCTTCTCATCTTCAGCTTGTACTGGTCATGTGAAGTGATTTCTGCTTCTGTTCGGTTCTAAACCCTGGTGGATGGTTCAGTTGCTGTGGTGTTGGCTCCACCTCAAGTGAGTAACATCAAGTTGATTTTGACTAAGGACATTGTCATTTGGATCAGTTCTAGCCCTATTATTAGACTTCCATGGAAAACATTCTCGTTAACACTACATCTCTACTAAATGACATTAACCCCTAGTGTATCTCATCCTACAGCCTATAACCCTTGGTCCCTCTTGGTATCCTAGGAATACACACTTATAGACCTAGGTTCTAACTTCCCATCACTATGTGGTGCATAAGCTGCACACCCAAATACCCTTAGATGACTTAGGCTTAGTTCTCTCCCTGACCACTTCGTTGGGCATTTAAAACTCTATAGCAATTGAAGGGCTTATGTTTATTAGGTATGCTGTAGTTGTTAGGGCTTCTCCCCATAAGGATTGGCAGTCCAGATGTAAACATGAGACTCTCACCTTTTCCAGAGGGGTTCTATTCATCCTCTCAGCAACTCCATTTTGTTGAGGGGTTCTCCTTACAGTCCTATGTCATGGATCCCTAGTCACTACAGAACTTATCAAATTCTACATTACAAAATTCCAACCCATTGTCTGTTCTAAGAGCCTTGACCTTCCTATCAATTGGTTTTCCACTACAATTTCCAGCTTTTGAATTATTTAGGCCTCATCTTTTGATTTTAGAAGGTATACCCAGACTTTTCCTAAAATCATCCACTTGGAGAGAAAGTAGCTATTCCTCCATGGGACCTAACCTATTCAAGTCCCCATAAGCCAGCATGAAGGTAATCTAGGAAGTTTGTAGCTAGGTGAACCCCTTTTGTGAAACTGCCCCTGTTGCTTACCTAACACACATGTTTCACAAAAGTCCAAAGGTGTTATATTGTCCTACCAAAAGTCCCAGTTGACCTAAGATGTTTAGGCCTTTTTGACTCTGTGCCAACCTCATATGCCATTTTTGTGTCACACTTAATTCTGATGATTAGTTACTATTGTTCCTATCACAGTAATAGTTCCCACACAAATACAAACCATTTCTTTTTAGACCTCTCAGCACTATGTTGTTATTCCTATATACATTGATGCAAACATTTTCTGCCTTATACAACAGCCAGCTCACTCTAAAGTTCCTAAGGATTTAGTTTTCTTTTTAGTTCAGGAATGAACCAACCTTAGACAGCATTATCAGTTTACCATCTTCCATTTTAAGGTTATGTTACCTATTCCTCTAACCTTACAAGCATTTTTGTTCCCCATAAAGACAGTCTCATGCTCGATCTCTAACCTTGAAACCACTCCTTATTGGGGCTCATATGGAAGGACAACCAAATCTATGACCCACTCTTGGATCAGGTCTGACTTAGACACTGTAGGACATCTGAGACAACATGCTATCACTAGTGAAGCTACATTACTCTTAGTGTTTCCCTGTTTTTGCTTCTTAATCCACTCGAAACATTTTCTTTAAATGTCCAGTCTTATTGTAGTGAAAACACTTTCTAGTCTCCCCTCTTGTGTTACCAGAACCCTTCCCCTTTTTCTATTCTTTGGGCCATTACTACGATGCATACCATTTACAGATTGACCTAAGTCTGATCTACCCTTTACAAACAATTATTTCCATTTCTCTTTTGGGCCTTTAATTCTAACTCCGTAGCCTTTAATCCAGCAATTATCAGGTCAAGACTAGGCATAGTCCTATTATATTGAAGTGCATTTTTGACAACTTGTGTACTCATCAGTTAAGGAATTAAGCAGATCATAGCAAAGCTATGTCCCCTAATTCTTGGTCTTGTTCCTTTTAGAATCAAAGTCATCTTCAAAAATTTCTCCAGATTACTTCTAAAGACTTAGAGTTATCCATTTTGTAAGAAAACACGCACCCTTTAAGAAAACTAAGTTTGGAGCAGACTGTAATGAATAAAGTGTTTCGAGTTTCCCCACGGTGAGAGGTGTCCATGCCATCTACCTTCCTCAGCACGTTGTCAAACAGGTTCATCCACGATAGGTTGTGCGCTTCCTCATCCCTTCAACCTTTTCTTCATTTCTTCTGCCCACTTGGTAACATCCTTTTGCAAAGCAATCGCAACTTGTTATGGGATAGCAATGCTTTCACTTCTTTTTCCAACTACTGAAGTCGATTTTCCCATGATATTGGGAAATCTCCATTTGTGTGGTACTCATGGTGTAGTGTTGGGACTTGATAAGGTATTTGAATGGAATACGGACCCTAGATATCTAGAATAGACAGATTAAAGAATCCCCAAAAAATAGATTTCGACGAAATCTTGACTTAAATCAAGATCTAACTATCCTTAAGTACTAGGAACACAAGGTGCAAGAAACCCCCAATTTTCTACGAACCCTAGATCAAGAAAATCAATTTGATCGACACGAAACCTTAGAAATTAAGGCTCTGATACTACTGTTCCTTCATTCGATCTTTTGGGTTCTAAAGACGTATGGTTACAACTCACTTTTAAATTTTTTTTTAAAGAGGAGGGAGTCCAACTATTTATTTACACCATAACAACCAACCAAATTGATGATACCGGACAAATAAACTTCTAACATTTAAGATGATATTCAATACTTCTCTCCTCGGGAGATACCTGAAAGTTTGAAACGTGCAAAGAATTTGCCGAGTTTCTCTGCAAATTATCAAAAATTATGGGGACTATTCGAACCATTTTTGGGGGAGATACATTTCCTGTGTGCAACGAATCTTTAATCAGAAACATGCTTTAAATCTAATCAATCAAACACAAAGATCAAACCAAGCAACCACAAAGAAATCAAACAAACAATATACCATGGTTCACCTATTCAAGAATGAATTGGGTACGTCCACGTTGAGCTCCACAACTGATGGTGCTCTCTGCACTAATTGATTCCACAGATCCAATTACAAACACAATCAAGATTCACTCACTCCTTACTTCACTCAAACTCCCTTAGTAAATCTAAACAGAACTGCAATCTTCACCCTAGGAGAAACTCTATCTTGGTATCCCTAGCCCGAGAGTAAACAGACGCTCTATGAGTGATTTACAAAGAAATCCTCACTTGGTTACAGCAGATTTTACAGAGAAGTATATCAAAGAATCTTAGCTCTAACAATGGCTAAAGTCGAATACAGGAGAGAGAATAAGTGTTGTGTGATCTGTTGACCAAACCCAATTTTTAGACTGTTTTATATGGTTGGATGTGTGGCTTAATAATAGGCGTTGGATCAGCTTTATAATCAATGGCTCGGATCTTGGATGGTTGAATAGTGCGGTACCATTTGGATAAGTGAATTAGCTAAAGCACAAGACGTCACCGTTTCTGGCTTCATCATCAACAATCTCCACCTTTAAGTCAGAACTTGCTAAGGAATTTCTTCCAGGTGTGTAGAGAACCTTCCATCAATATGCTTCTTAGCTCTACAAGGCTCTTTATGTTATATTCAACAAATCCAAGCAGTGCTTAAATTTTGTGGTTGTCACTACTTTGGTGCCCATATTAGCAAGGTCGTCTTCTATCGGAATCTTCTTGAGTTTAATCAATCCTTTTGTGATCAGGTCCTTCGCAAAATGAAATCTGACATCCTCATGTTTTGTTCTCTCATGGTAGATAGGGTTCTTGCTCAAATGGATGGCACTCTAGCTATCTGAATACACAATTGTCATGCTGTCTACTAACTTGGCTTCCTTCAAGATTCCTTGGAGCCATAGCGCCTCTTTGAAGATATTAGTCACTGCCACATATTCAGCTTCTGTTGTGGACAGTGCTACAAGTTGCTGCAATTGAGACTTCCAACTAACACAATTTTCCGTAAGGGTAAAATAGTAGGATGTTGTAGACTTCCTTGTGTCCCTGTCACCTGCAAAATTAGAGTCTACAAATCCCACCAGATCAAGTGAATTATTTCCTTTTGAATAGTTTAAGCCAACATGTAGTGAACTATTTATATATCTCAACAACCATTTCAAAGCAGCCCAATGTTCACTACCAGGATTTGACATAAATCGACTAAGTAAAGAGATTGCAAATGATAAATCAGGTCTAGTGCTAATCATGGCATACATTATAGACCCTATAACATTAGAATATGATACATTTTCCATCCTAATTATCTCAATATCAGTCTTGGGGCATTGTAATTTGCTTAAGATGAAATGGTTTGCTAAAGGCATGCTCACGGTTTAGCATCAGCCATTTCATACTTCATGACCAAGTTTTTCAGGTATAACAATTGGTGAATTCTTAATTCATGGCTACTTCTATTTCTATCTATTGTCATTCCTAGAATTTTCTTAGCACTCCCTAGATCTTTCATATCAAATTCAGAATTCAGCTTTAATTTCAATTCTCTAATCTTGGATTTAGACTTACTAATTAGGAGCATGTCATCAACATATAAAAGCAAGTAAATAGGCATATCATCAGTGGAAGCAAAGTAAAAACAGCTATCATATTTACTCCTAGAGAAACCAATGCTCAATATAAAGGTGTCAAACCTTTTATACCATTGCATAGGTGATTGTTTAAGGCCATATAGTGATTTATGCAACGTACAAACATGATTGGGTAGGTTATTATAAATGAATCCCATAGGTTGTGTTATATAAATTTTCTCCTCTAACTCACCATGTAAGAATGCAGTTTTGAAATCTCATCGCTCTACTTCTAAGTCATGGTGAGCTACTATAGAAAGCATTAGCTTAATCGTTTTAAATTAAACAACTGGTGAAAAAATCTCATTAAAGTCTATACCTGCCCTCTGTGTATAGCCCTTAGCCACCAAACGAGCCTTATACCTAGGGGGATTAGTAAGAGACATACCTTCTTTGAGTTTAAATAGCCATTTGCATTCCACAAGTTTATGTTGTTTAGGTTTAGGGACCAAAGACCATGTGCCATTAATGGAGATCGAGGTGCTGACCAAGTTGATGTTCCCAAATATTCTTAAGATCCTTTGCCAGGAATTGGTGGTCCAATGACTAGGGCAAAGACCAAGAGGATGAAAGAGGCTTTGCAAGGCTTGATCATGGAAGTGCAATACAAAGAGGCTGTACTAGAAGACTCTAAGACTAAATTCGAAGATTTCAAAGCTTCACCAAGGATGGTCTATTATCTTTTTATGCAAGGGGTAGATTCGGAAGATCAAGTTGGATGCAAGGATTAATTTAGGAATTAATTTTCATTTATTTAATCGTAGGCTTTTTATGTTTTAATTATCATTAGATTCTTTGGTCCTTTATTTATTTAAGGTTTATTTAGGCCCAATTCGCTTGTACTTAGGCCCAACCCTTTTTTCAATTAGCTAGGGTTTTCTTTTACGGTTTGTTGCTTATAACAAAGGGCAGCCATGTTATTTTTGGGACAGATTATTATCAATTCAAGTTTATTTCACAAAGCTATTTGCTTTGCCTTCTTGTGTTCTTGAATCTCGACTTATCAAAGAGAGTGATCAACCTTTGAGGCGTCTCAAGATTAGGGTTTAAGGACTTAGTTTCCTTAGGGTTCTAATTCGATCATCCTCAACACTTTTTTTTTTTTTTTTTTTTGGGAAAAGGTAAGTATTTTATAGAAGAGACAAAAAGTGTACAAAAGCGAGGGGCATACCCCAAGAGGATGACTGATAATTCTCAGTCAAAAAAAATACATGGGAAAACCCACAAAGCCACAAACGGCTTAAAAAGAGCACGCAGGCTCCCTAAAACACAAAACAAGAAGATGCCATAAATCACAGAGCCACAAATTGGCATAAAAGAGCACGCAAGCTCCTTGCAAAGCTAAACAGGAAGATGCCACATCGCACGGAGCTGGGTCGAGATCTCGTACTTAGGTGTTAAACCCAAAATCTTGGCTTGGACTAGATCACAAATAGCTAAAGTAGTATCTCTGCGAGAGCTACAGTGCTAATGAAACACTATTATTCCGTTCAAATCATAGGAAATAAATTGTGGCTGAGAGGACCAACCGGGAAAGAAGGTGTCTGAAGTCACCTTTGTGTCTAAGATGCAAGCTAATCCACTGGAGCAAAGGGAGCCAAGAGAGAGTAGGCCATGTAGTGAGCATCCTAGTAGTGACCTCCCACCAAACATAACTTGAGAATTCACAGCTGAAAAAAAAATGGTCATGGGTCTTTGTAGCTGAACTCACAAAACACACAGGGAGTACGTAATGACACCATGAGAGCTGAGCCGATCCATGGTGTGAAGCCGACCAAGAGAAGTAAGCCAGAGAATGAAAGAGTGGCGTGGAATATGCCATGGAAACCACAAGAGATGATGAATCGAGTTCACATCCTATTTGTCTCGCAACACATTCCAGGCTGAATCAATAGAGAAATGCCCAGATGGGTGGCCCTTCTACACAAGATGGTCAGGAAGACTCGCTGAAGGCTACATTGTAATGGAGTCCCAGATATGCTGAAGGTCGGCACTGCCTAAAGGAAAATCCCACAAACCATCTCGAATAATGTTTGAAACCTGAGCATCCCATGGCAAACCAGTGGAAGTCAAAGTTCTAAAAGGGAGTAAGTCACACAAAGGTCCCTGCAGCAGCCAGTAATCTCGCCATAACATGGTGTCCCCACCATCACCGATACAAGTCACAATAAGACCCCGGCACCAAACCCCGCTAAGTAAAATCTTCCTCCAGGCCCATAAAGCCCTAGATATAACTTGAATATGCCAAAAAAACTGACCATGGAGGAGAACCAAACGGGCCCAAGAGGACCATACAGAAGACCTATCATTAAGTAGTCTCTACATGTGTTTAAGAATAGCTGCTCTATTCTAATCTTGGATCCTCTTAATCCCCAGCCTACCCTCTCTCAATGGATAGCAAACAGAAGACCATGCAACCTTGGCACCAAAAAGGGACAAAGAAGTACCCCTCCAAAGAAATGATGCCAAAATACTCTCAATCCGTCTAACAGTAGCTGCTGGCAAAAGAAACATTGATGACCAATATACCTGTATGGAGAATAGCACCGACTTGATCAGTTGTAGTCGACCTGCGTAGGTCAAGGATGTAGACGTCCATAGCCTAATCCGAGACAAAATTCGCTGTAATAGAGGCCTACAATCAGAACGTCGAAGCCAGGTAGAGATCAGAGGAACCCCTAGATATCTAACCTGTAACTAGCCCAACTGGAAACCCATGATAGACTGTAACCCAATCTGCTCCTCATCTGTAACCCCAGAAAGAAACAACTGACTCTTCTCTGCATTAGTCACCAACCCAGAAACCTTGGCAAAATAATCCAAGGCCGATTTGATCAAGCTAATAGAGGAAGCATCTGCTCGAAAAAATACCATCAAATCATCCACAAAACACAAATGAGTAATAGATGCCTGCCTACACCTCCAATGATAATGAAAACTAGGGCTGTGAGAGGTATCATCCTCAACACGTTCCTAGCAAATCAACTTGTTCCCATTCCATTGAGTTCGAGGGTTCCTAGGGTAATTCGCCTAAAGGGTCTTCATCATTTGGTATCATAGCTTTGGTTGCTGGAAACAGGTTATTTATCTCCAACACTCTTTGTTTTCGTTCTTGATTCGAAGAAAAAAAAAATTTGAATTCATCCTTTCATAGTTCTTCTGCGTTTTCTTTGGATTTCGTTTCGTAGTTGTCTTTGGATTTTGTTTCGTAGTTCTCTTTGAATTCTTCCTTTCTTTTTAATTTTTCTTGTGCTTTATTTTTCTGTGTTCAATCCATCTTTGTTCTTCAAAAAAAAAAAAAAAAAAAAAAAGAACAAAGTGGCAATTTCGAGTTTTTAAGTTTCCCATTCTTGTTCTCTTTGCTAAGTATCCTATTTTTGTTTAATTAAGTTTCCAATTCTTGTTTTCTTGCTTGAGTTTCTTATTCTTATTGAATTAGTTTCCTTTATTCTGTTCTAGTTTCCCTTTATTTTTGTTCTAGTGATTGTTTCAAGTATATACAAGGTTGTTTTGTGTATTTTGCCTTCTTAATCAATTAGCATCAATTCTAGTGATTTCTTTCACATGTCTTTTGCTTCCTTTTAGAGTTTTCTTATTTTTCTTGGTTCTTTAGAGTCATCTTGGGTCTTTCTTTCTGTTCACCGTTTGTCTCAACTAAGTTTTTAAAGTTCTAATTTTTGAGATTGTCACCATCTAACCGATTGCTTCTTGAGATTTGTTGAATTCTTTGATTTTGTTAAGAACATAAATGGGGCTGGCTTGGCTTTGAGTGGTAAAAGGCAAGATAGATCATCATCAAGAAAAAGCCAAAATTGTGTGAAACACGAGTGATAACAATCTGATTTGAGTGCAAACACGTGAGGGAGTGTGTGAGGAACAACACCTTTTATTTTATTTTATTTTATAGGTCGAAACCATGAGTAAGGAAGGAGGAGAACCACAAGAGGTCGACATGAAATTCTTCATCAAGGCTGTTAATGACCAATTTAAATTGATGAATGTGAGATTGAATGATTTGGAGTCCTTTTTTGATTCTAAATCACATAGAAGACATGAGTTCAACAAAGAAGACAAAGCTGATTCCGAAGTGGAGAGAACAAGTTATAAACGGGACAAGAAGGTTGAATCCAAAGGAGATAACAATATAGGCAGTATAAAGATGGCAATTCTGACTTTTCAAGGAAAGAATGATCCTGAGCTATACTTGGAGTGGGAAAGAAAGGTTGAGCACGTATTTGATTGTCATAATTACTCTGAGGAGAAGAAAGTAAAGCTAGCAGTCGTAGAGTTTACAGATTATGCAGGTATATGGTGGGATCAATTGGTGATCAATAGGCGCATGAATGGTGAGAGGCCTATTCGGTCATGGGAAGAGATGAAGTTGGTAAGGCGCAAGAGATTTATACCTAGCCATTACTATAAAGATTTGTATAGGAAGTTGCAAGGGCTGGTTCAAGGTTCCATGAGTGTAGAGGATTATTATAAGGAGATTGAAATCGCCATGATTAGAGCAAACATAGAGGAAGACAGAGAAGCAACAATGGCTAGATTCATTGTTGGATTGAACAAGGAGATTGTTGACGTCGTTGAGTTGCAACATTACATAGAGATAGAGGAGCTACTGCACAAAG